CTCTCATAGTAATTCCTCAGTGACAGCCAGGGCAGCAAATTGAGATGTCTCAGTTAGAATCCATCAACTCCATATTCAAAACAGCTGGTTGCTACTGCTGCTAGAATTTCCGATGGATAAAATTCATGACCGTGCTGCTTCTGGTTTAACAAACAATGGCAAATCACTTTTGGTAAAATATTGGGATAATTTGTCAGGAAATCTGCAAATTTGAGACTTGCCTCCCAAGAAGAAGACTAAGGGTCTACAGCCATGTTAGCAGCTGTGTGGGGCTGTACTTACTCACAGTGCTGCTTTGAGTTAAATGCTAATATTGGAATCATTTTTGTCTAGGGTGTCAGCATGCTAACATATGCTAATGAGAGCTAATCATAAGTACAGCTAAGGTGTATTTGATCATAAACCAAAATATAGAACATTCAAATTTTGATCTGATGAACTAGATGAAAAGTAAAGTGATCCACAAAGTTTTAGTACAGTTCATCCTGAGGAACACATGACAATCTGAAACAAATGTCATGGCAATCCATCCAATAGTTGTTGAGACATTTACTCAAAATAAGAAATAAAAGACAAAAATGTTGAACTGCTTGTGGCACAAGAGGAAAATTTAGAGGCTCACCAAAGTCTGTAAGAGTCGTCCTCTGTGTTCCATACATTTTAAGTACTAAATTTGATTGCAATGCATCAAATAGTTGTTAGGATATTTCAGTCTGGCCCAAAGTCGTGGACTCACAGACCCACCATCAGTACAGCCATGCCACTAACCTGGCTAAAAACCCACACCATCATTTGTTCCGGCAAATTCCCAAATAGGGCAGGGTTGCTTAAATGTTTGTCCCCAGTGAGCTGCCAGGAATTCAGAATATATATATAAGTTAAGTTAATAAGTTAAGACCACATTGAACCTGGACTCTTCTTCTGTCCCATCCCTAGCCTGGTATCCTTAAAACTACATCTACATAAGATGATTCTGCACGATATGATGTATGTCCACTGTCTGGGTAGTGGACTTTTCCCCCCCTCACAGGCCCACAGGATATTTTTGCCTTTTTATCCCCCATAACCATGATCTTTCCGTGATTTAGTTGCCTTTACTCTAACTATACCTTAACCATAATTGATTTGCCATAACCATGTTCTTTACCTCACCCGAACCATACCTGCCAAACACAGATGTTGTAGGAAGCAAAATCTGCACTGACACAATAGTCCAAATGTTCTTGTCTGCCAAAGGGTTGCAAGCCCACCCAGTGGAACAAAATCTGCCAGTCAAACCATTTCCACACCTTAAGAGCGCTGAAAGATGAATGTGGTCCTAATACACTGACTGTGCACAAATGATGTTGTAAGACCAACAGAATTCATTTTCTTTACAACAGTGAAGGGATTTGTGTCTTACAGCTGTCTAGTGTTCTAGTGTGAAATCTAGGCTTATTGATTTCTGTGGGGCTATATTCTTTACAAAGGATACGGTGTGTACTTGAGAAAATACTTGTTTTATTTTATTGCGTGCTTCAGATCCCTCACCTCTCAATCCCATGTCTGCACCAAACAGTACACTCTCAGAACTATCTCAATGGAAAATAACCCTTTAAGCAAAAAGCACCTTGACCCCAACAACATCAAATGAATCCTTATCGTGGTGGCAGAGGCAAAGAAAAACAATTCTGCCGCTTAAACATCATAAAAGCATGACAGGCTCCCTCCCCTTAGCTTCCAGCGCAGCCGGGGCTAAGCGTTTCAAAGAGACTAGTGTTTGAATGACTGCGATGTGGGAGCTCAGAGTCTGTAGCTATGGATTAAGCTCACAGCAAATAGTAGCATGGAAGAAACAGAGGTAATCTCTTCCCTCTGCTCCACGGCCCTCTCACCATACCTGTTCCCCCTTTTTTAATCTCCTTACTGAATTAGTTCTTGCAAAGCTGTTCAAACAGAGAGGGGTTTATTCACAGTGGTTACAGAGGTTAAAGTAACATGAAAATGATAGCGTCTCATGTTCCCGAAAGGTCCATTTGCTCAAGGATTGATGTGCTGCTCACCTGGTTATTGTTCTCCAAAGCAACATACAGGTAAAATACACTTGCTGCCATCCTAAAATTTGCTGCTTGGATGAAAAGTACATGAGGGTATTTCTCAGTTACAGACCTTGAACTGCAGCCAGTTGTAAGCTGCGACTAAGTATAACATTTTGATATTTGCGTGTAGATTACACAGTGTAACCTGACGCAGCAGTGTATCATAAAAACTTCATCATACTCACTCACTCAGTGCAGTCTCTGGTTTAATCACCTACAGTGCTCGGGATAATTTACCCTGCAGCACACTGCATTTGCATAAAAGTAGTTTCGTTTTGCATTTTGATACATTGCCTTGCAGTTTCGCAGAAGATTCTTGCCATAAAAGAAAATTCCCACACCTGAACCACTGCACTAACTGCCTAAATATTTCAGCCTGGCTCTCGCAGCTTTGCTTTCACTGCTTCCTGTACTGTGAAGATCAAATAATGAGCCAGAGCATTCTTATATGCAATATTTCACACTGGCTGAATATTGTAATTTCTTTCAACTCGCACACCTTCGTGTGAGATCATTACCAGTAAGCCTCTGATATTAACTGTTCATCATCAGTGTTTCTCCCCACACATCCCCA